CAGAGGTCGTCCTTTTCTTGAGGTGCCTTTCCTTAGATGTGTCAGGCCGCTGCAGGGCTCGAGTACCTGCACAACCTGATGCCTTATCCTATTGTGCATGGCGACATTAAAGCGGTACTGTCATTCCTGTGTTACCACCCTTTGAGCTGAACGTTCTTATAGGCCAATATACTGGTATCCGACCTCCATACAGCTTGCCTTACCGATTTTGGTGTTTCCAAGATGCTCAATGTGACGGGGTATACGACTACGCCCAAAGGAACAGATCGTTTCACGTCACCGGAGCTCCTCATCGACCATGAGACATCGTTCACCCGTGCATCCGACATATGGGCATTTGGCATGACTGTCCTTCAGGTGAAGACCCACATTTATTCTGCCTTACGCCGAAGTAACGTTAACCCTTTGTAGGTTTCCACTGGAAAGGTACCCTTTGAACATATAAAGAAAGATTCGATGGTTATCATACATGTGGCTCAAGGGCGCTTGCCATCACGGCCTGATGAAATCGACGACCCATTGTGGGCTTTGTTGCAACGATGCTGGGCATCTGATCCAGACAAACGACCCTCGATATCGACTATCGCCGCTCGCCTCCTCCCCATGACGTCCAAGAAGCTTACGCCCACGGACGTCAACGATTCTGTAGATAACTTAGGGCATCAATCGCAAGGTATTTCTAACTTACATTTAGCGATTGCGACTATTGATATACCTGCTTCCATCTTTCCAGAAAATTCCAGGAAAATAGGAGACCCGGAACGGAAGTCGGTGCCCACGATCCACTACCACATTTAGGGCCAATACCCGCCCCAATTGTTGAACCGCGCCTATTCCGTTACCGCTGGCCTGAATGCGGAACTCGCTTCACTGCCCTCTCATATCTTCAGCCTCATGAACTTCAGCATTGGACTCACTAGAGAAGTGAGGGCGACAGTCCCGAAGTAGGGCAAAATTCATACTTGCCGTTCCATTTACCCTCGCATAAAGGGTTATCTTTTCTTTTTCTTATCCTTAATTTCTTTCTCTAACATATGTCTATGAAATTCCCACATGCAGATTCAGATGATACCCACAGCATGTCATATATTACTCATACATAATGTAAACGTGCTCGGGAATCATACGCCCATTATAGCTCACCCTTATAGGGGAGGTTGCGTGCCCAGCCCTGGAGCGATACTCTCCACTGTTCTAGCATCTTCTCTGCATGTTGGTTGGACGTGTGGAGACAACGTGATGCAATCTGACAGAATGCCAATGCACGGGGGTGGTTATCTTCCTATGTCGTCGAGAGGTCCACCATGAGGAGGTGAAGTAAGTCATGGAGTGCTTTTCGGGACGGTTTAGGTATCGAGAATCTCCGCCTGGGCTACTGCAGTGTTACGGAGATTTTACAATTGTTTCGAAGACTCAAACCGATAGGGCAAGATCAGCGTTTGGTGAAGACTTTTTCCCGGTTGATGGAGTTGGCTATTGGAAGCGGTTACCCTGATCTTCTTCCTGAAGCTTGATCAACTGCGGTACTAGGGATGCTGGACAAATGATTGGATGATTCTATCAGTAGTTTCCACCTTGTCCTGGAAGTCGGGGATTGGTTGGTTGCGTGAGGTTAATGAGGGCTTTAGTAAGCCGCAAGAGAGACACAATCTGCAAATTATTGAGGGCGAAGTACGTGGGGGGGGGGGCTTATGCGGGTTTCGCCCTTGCGAAGGGGCTCGTCAGAGGGCTTTACCGCTGCCCTAACCCGTCTTGATTTCAGAGGCAACAGAAGTGTAGACTACCATCCAAATCACCTAGGGGAGTATGATCACGTAGGGTTCTGTCGGAGCCGGGCTGCGCGTTAGCGACCCCGGGACCTCCGAGTGGTAGGTGTAAGTTATGGGCAATGTCAGGGGAATCCTCCCTCTTTGGACCTCTCAGTAGGATGAAAGGCCGGCAAACTGCCTGATCCGTTAGACCAGGACTTGTTCGTCTACTCTGCCTGTGATGCAAGCCCTCGGCGAGAGAACAGATCCCGGGTCAGTCTAGGCCGTCCCCGGAAGGGAGATAGAAAGATGGCCGAGGAAGTCTGAACCATGAATGAGTTGTGCGGTGTTTCGGCGCATGGGCCGCTGCCCCGAAATGGCAGTCGAGCTACCATAATTGTCAAGTGACATCAGCTAGGTATAGTTGTAAGCGCCCACCCCATGTCGGCTTATTGGATTCAAGCATTCAAATCTCCCGGCTTGGACATACGGCTTATTCGACAAGAAGTTTGTTTCAAACATTCAAGTCCATGGACTCGGCTATACTGTGATGCGAGTCTTTTCTTGACTTGAGTACCCTTGATTCATCGGAGATGTGATATGTGCGTCTGTGGAGCCACATGTGATACGTGTTGTGTTGGACTCTCTATTTCCATATGTGACAAACGCGATTGGTTAGCATGTTTAGCCCAGGTCGTACTGTACTTGTACTAGAGACGGCATATATTTCGGCGCCCGTGTTAATACTTTTCAATCCCATAAGCCACTATCACACGCCCGAGATGGGTTTTAGTTCCCGCAAACATCAGTTCACATGTTTTTGTTCTGTCTATTTTGACCTCCATGGCTACCCACATACTTGAGCCCAAGTCCCCTTAATGACAGTGTGTCCCCGTCATCCAGCCTCGCGAACTTGGTTCATGAATTTTGTCTTCATGGCTTACTTGTCACTTGGGTTGGGAGCAGCTCAATCCAGGTAACGGACTCAAGCCCTGGGGACTATGCCTGTGTCGGTGATGTGATGGTGTGAGTCAGGAATCATAAGGTTTAACCGGCAATACGACCCAACAGGGAAGAGGGTAGATGGGCCTCAGGCCCATCTAGAAAAATAGATTTTAATAAATCTATAAGACTATTTGACGGTGTAAATTTAATCTCTAGTTATTAACCCTTCCCTCCGCTTTCTACTTTTCGCTGTGGCTTGTATGCACCCGTTGACATACCTCTCCCTCTCTTTGGCCCTAGGCTCGGCGCTTGCTGCGCCAGTAGGGGCCCAATATGCTATCATTGGCTGGGTATCGGAGAGTCTCAAGCCATTCCAACAAACGTTCATCGATTTTATCAACCCGATGCACCCTCCTTCAACAAACCAAACAATAATTGCATACTTTGTTCTCATTTTGGCATCCGCCATCTCTGCCGGGCCTCCCTTAATACCGTACCCCAAAGACGCCACTGTCACGACCGCACTGAGGGTGCGGCTTAAATTCTTCCTATATGGATTCATTTCCCCGGATTATTTTACGATGGTAAATTGGAAGGAAAGAATTGAGGAGAGCTGTTACGCATCTTTGTATAACAAAGCTTTCCATAAAGAAGGTGAGGCCTAATGCCGCTATCTCGGGCTCCAGAATATATAATAAAGGATTTATTTCTCTCAGATCCGAAAAAGGGATGGTCTAGAGAACATAGCGCGTTCGCCATGAAGGGAGGCTTTGTCCTGTGGGAGAATAACAAACCAGCCAAGACTCTGGATTTCACGGAACTCGTCCGCATGATTGAAGCAGGCGAAATTGAACCTCCAGTTATCTCAAAGGAAGATATCCGTTCCAGAACTACCAGAACCCCTGGCTGTGCCAAAACGGTCTTTCTCCTCTACTATTCGTCATTGTGGCTCATCACCAAATTTGGCAAGTCAAATATTATCGCCTTGAGGGAACTGGCAACTTTACATATGGCCATGAGTTGGTACTCATTCCTCTTGCATTTTGACGTCATACTAGGAGTTGTAGAACCCGTTGTCATCACACAAAAACCTCGGGAGAAGAGCGACAAGGTGATGGCCCTAGAGGACAATAAAGCCGAACGGGAGAGATCAGCATCTGAGACGTTGGTGAATCTTACCGATGGAGAGGACGAGATAGCCACCGAGCTGGTGGTTGCGACCGCCAATACCACGGATCGTGATGTCGCTGTGCCCGACCAAGTTGAGCGGAACCAATCAATAGGGGGAGCGGGCGTCTTCCAACCGCTGATGTTCACAGCGACCTCTACAATCCTTAACATCTTCGTTGAAATCACCTCTCCCTTGTACGACCTTGTGCTCGGGTCTATAGCACCTTTGGGGGTCCTGTGGGGCACCATTAGCAGCCCTGATGTGCGTGTTCTTCTTCTATTCTTCCTCATATTGTTATCTCATGATAGGTTAGAGGAACCCCGCAACACGTAGGCAATATTGTGCAATGATAGCGGTAACACTTGTATGGTGGGGTACGACCCCAAGTACTCTCCGACGCCTTCCGCCCCCGCTGGTATCTGGGATTGAGCAAGCGATCTGGCGCACATCGTGTTACTTTCTCTTGTCGCAACCCTTCGTTCTTCTGTTAGCCCCGTCTCGCGTGAGAGCTAAGATCGGGGAGGGTGTCAAGACGGCCTTTTATGTTTTCTATAGTCTTTTATATTCTGCTGCTCGTCTTTCCATCTTCTTTATTACCTTTTACTCGATTAGAAATATGGCCTAGCGCTAGGTCAGTATCTAATATGTAGCAGCGTATTTCACAGGAAGCGTACTTGCAGATTAGATGGGATTGGTTATCATGTCCAGCCTGGGACGAATTGTGTTTGTATAGGTAGCGTTCTTTCTGAACTGTGAAAATGAAAATAATCGAAGAATGTGACGTCAGTTATATTTGGTCCTGTGGCAAACACGATTGTGTGCGGTAGCTCGGGGTTCAATTCCTCATACTTGATATAAAATCTCAGGACATGAAATTGTTAGTTTATTCTGGAATGCTCTGATTAGTCAGTGGTAAGACGCCCTGCATTTGGCAACCGGGTCCTTCCATTTAATGTAGGCCGAGCGCTGAGCACTCAAATTCCAGTATGTAGCCTCGGGAGATGGAATTGTGAGATCCTTGCGTTGCTGATGAATGGTATGCTTTGATCTTCAGTAGAATTTTGGAAATTAGTCGACATTGAGCTCTGTACTGTGACTGAATTCGCGTGTTTGTTGCGCGGCCAGTGATAGGATCATCGAGTATGGTGTAACGGCTAACATTACCGCCTTTCAAGAGGCAACACAGTGAATTAAACAGCTTTACGCGGTAGCTCGGGGTTCGATTCCCCGTACTCGAAATATCGTTATATGCAGTCGTTTTTGCGGCTGGTTTATTTATTTTGTGGTGCGCGTCGTGGCGCGTCGGTCCTTACGTCTCGTTTATGGCGAGAGATTTCTTAACGCCTGGGTAACGAGTCTAATTTCAAGTCTAATTTCTAGCGGCCGGTTGCGAGGGACGGGAGATGCATGTTGATTGACGTCTTCATGACACTTGATGATGTGAAATGTTAATGAAGGCCAGCCGGAGTAATCGGTGGTCATGGGATTACATTTGGCCTACTGGTACAACCTGATGCTGGAGCCCTGGGAGCCCTGGGGTGTACCAGCAAACGGAGAGTTGGGGGCCTTGATAGAGTTCACGCCTTATAGCAGTGGGGATTTCGTGCAAGCTCGGGAAATATTTTAATATACGCTTTCCCTAGCGGATCAAAGTCGGGTGTGTAATGGATATGCATGACCGCTTATAATTGCCAGTCGCGTCCCTGGATGTTTCAATGGTGGTTCGGGCTTCGATACTCCATGCACTTGAATGATCAACGTCGAACGTGCATAGGACGATATGTTCTTTTTCCCTAAGAGGTTTTGGGGGTTTGGATGTTGTTGAGTGTTATGCGCAGCAGCTGCGTTCGGGTTTTTCTTTCACTCAGAATGTCGGTATTATGGTGACGTCATTACAGCTTGAGGATGGTGTAGAGTCCTCGTTAATAGCTGTCTCCAGACAATGTGGATGATGCTCTAGGGTTTAAATCCCTATACTCAAGCGTCTAAGCTTGGAAATCAGTTTTTTCGCGCCGAGAAAGGTTAGTCCTCGGGCCGT